AAAAGTACTTACATTTTTCTCAAGATCTTAAGTATATGAAGTCTTGGGACATAAGCAGGTAGCAGTTGTGGATTTGGGGAGTTTTGTATACTTTTTCTCCAGATAAAAATTCTCAGTGCTTTTTCAGGCATTTCGATAATCTGTTTTGAAGATTGATTAGAAGGAAACTGCAACTTTAAAAAACATTCATGCTTTTGACTATTCAGCTTTGACCTGTAATTTGGTGCTGCAACTGCAATCACTGAAGGTATTCTTAAAACCCCTCCGATCTGGAAAACGGATTTAAGTGGTTTTTCGTCTCATCTGACAATTCAACCTGGAGGCAGGAAGCCCTCAGATAAAATGAGTAGGTCTGTTCCCCTTGGTGTCAGCGAAACAGAATTGGCTCAAGAAATCTGTCACTTGGATCTTGGTGACAGGGACTGCAGAAGACTTTGGGTATAGGCAAGATGTTTCAGAGGTTGTTGATGTTGCTTGGGTCCAACTTACTTTAAAGCATGCCCTCCTCCTGCAGGCTGGTCCTGTGGGGACTGAGATGTCAACCACCAGAAAAAGGCAGATGATGAAGGTCAGGCCCTGTGTTGACCTCAGGAGGGGTCTGGCCTACCTACAGGGGTGAGGGCTCGTCAGCAGCATTCCTAAACCCTCTTGGCTTTAAGTGGGCTGTCTCCATTTGCTCTTACAAATCCTTTTATGTGATTAGTTGCACACTTCATTGCTTGAAATCTAGACGTAAAGCAGGAAAAGAATGCATTTCTAGACTACCTCTTAAATTACTGAACAGTAGCTGGAGGAACAAAGGGGCTAAACTAGAGCTGATATGAAGTGATACATTTTAATGAGGATAATCTAGAAACCTTTTGATAGGGAGCAAACCTGCAACTGCAAAAGTAATGTAACAAACCAGCTGGCATATAGGCATAAAGTAAAAAGAAGCTGTTTTGTTCTTTTCACCACCCAGTGTGAAATCCAGGTCGTCTTGTGAAAGTCATTGTGCCACTGTGTCATCTAAGTGTTTCTCCCGGGTGCGTTATGGTATGTAGGCTGTTGTAACTGCACACGGGTAATGATTGTGCTGGGGAACGTGTTTGAAAGCACAAAAGGCACTATTTCTAATTTCATGTTAGTTTTGCTCCGTTTAACATGCACCGCTGTAATTATCCTACAGTGGAAAAGGATGACAGTAAACTAGTTAGAGGTTTGTTCTTTTAAAAATGCAAACCATGAATTTAACTGCCTGTTCCCTGGATTTTGTTGCAGGCCAGTGAAAGCAACCTATCCATGCTTGTGGTAAGGAAAGTAATGGTGAAATGGATCACAGACATTTTCACCTCCAACAGCAAATAAATAAAATTGGTTATAAATAAATAAAATTGGTTAAATAAATAAAATTGGCTTTAATAAAATTGGTATTTTGTGCCCTGGCCAATCAGCTGTTCAAATGAGCAAACGGTCCTGCCGGCACAAGGATGTGAGCGTTTGATAGCGTGTTTAGATGCAAGTCCCGCAATATTGAAAATGTGGTGGAACAAACAGGCAGGCAGTTGTTTTGGTTTAGGTTAGATGGTTCTGCTTGGTGTGTTTTCTCTGTTTCCATAGCTGTCCAGCGAAGCAGTAGTCAAAAACGGAGTCACGCAGATTCTGTGTCTCAAAACGTGGTGTGATGGCCATTGTGACTATTGAGTAAAACGTATGAGGTTAAGCACTGATGTAAATACTAGAAAAAGTACGGTTTTCTTTTCCAAAACTTGGGTGGTAATGTGACTTCCTCACTTTGCTTTTTCTCAGAACTCTTACTCATCTTCCTAAATTATAGTGCTTATATATATTTAATTATTCAGACCTCCAGAAGGTAATTTGGAGTGGTGTTGGTTGGGGTTTTGTTTGATGGTTTGTTTTTTTTAATAGTGAGCAGGATCACTGTTTTTGTAAGTCAATGATTAATTTCACACTTAAAACTAACCTTTATTAAATGGGTGAAAGGCTTCATGTTTTGGTTGCTGTACTGGAGTCTGGCCTTCTTTCTACTGAGTGCTCATATGAAAAGATGCCAGATTCCAGGTCAGAGAGTATAAATGTTCAAGCTGGAGTGAAAGTAAATAGTTTGAGTGGGCGTTGTGAGTAGCTCTGTGGTTGTCTGACAGTGGAAATAATTAATAATTAATACATACAAGTAAGGACACCTTGATATTGTTGATGTCCCACTAAATTAGTGAGTCAGCAGAGGGGGCACAAGTTCGCTGGCCAAAATATCCGAATTGTCCTTTAGTTAGTTTGACAATCTACATAAAATACTCCGATAGGCTCACATGTGCCGATGTGCTCATAGAATCACAGAATGGTTTGGGTTGGAAAGGACCTTAAAGATCATCTTGTTCCAACCCCCCTGCCATCAGCAGTTGGAACGTCACGCGCTGGAGTCCTAGGCAGCAGGGAGGTGGGTCCCAAAGCGTACTTCTCGTGCATCCCTGCCGAAACGTTGGAGCCGGTCCTACAGAACCTTGGTCCAGAGTGGGTTGGTCGGTCCAGCCTCTGACTTGGCTCTCCCGGCAGCCCGAAGATGCTCGCAGTGGAAGCAGCTCTGGTGCTGGCGACCCTGACACGCTCCGTTCCTCTTTGTTCCATGTGCTTTGCGCTCTCTGAAGGGGCGTTGTTGCCCGAGGTGGCTCTCCCATCCCTGCTTCGTGCTCCACGGGTCCGTGGTGTTTTTCCTAACGAAAAGCATTTCGATATCGGCTAAATGGGATTTCATGCCTGCAGAGCCGAGGTTGGCCAGGGGGTGTCACGGGAGTTTCGCAGCAGGAGAGCTGCAGCAGGACTTCAGCTGCTCTGCTATTGCCCACCTGTTCATAACATGCATTTCAGGTGCTGTTGAAGGGAAGTGGAGAAACTGCCCCCCTCCCCCCTACACACACCTACACGCATCTTAAAAATTCTGTGTGGTTTATTAGTGCTTCCAACTTTCGAACTGGGTAAAGTGAGCAAGAGTTTGATTAACGGATTCTTTGCCAAACCTGAGTTTTAACAGCCCAAGTATCGCAGGTGGTAGAGCTTTGTGGAAAACCCTCCTTGCCCTCCACTGTGAGGGACAGGAGCGTGGAAGTGAGGCCAAGGGCACCTGCCTGGGCTTCCTGGCAAGTCTTCTGTTGCATGAGGAGAAAAGATGCTGCTAAGCTGAGGAAACCTGCTCGACCCGACCTGGCTGTCGGGCTCCTGCTGTCATACAGCGCAGAAGCTGCGGGAGGCCACGGCCACACCATGGCGTGGCGTTAAGTTTTGTTTGGACAAACTTGTAGTCTGGAAACGACACTGAAATGCTCCTGGAGAAGCTGGGGAGATCTACTGCTCAGTCTGGATGTTCTCAGAGCTATCTTGGTTCAACCTCGTTGTCAGCTGGGATTCTTGAGGAAGATGGGGGTTTGAGAAATAAATCAGTGTCTGGTTTGTTTAGTGGTGGGGCATTTTTGACACACCCACCCCCCCCCCACTTCTCTATCTGCAGTTCTTTCTTATGGGCATAGCTGCCTGCACTGGATGCAGTTTAGCAAAACTTGTATCTCTTATGTAACCTTCTGTTGCTCTTTCTCTCCCCCACCTTTCTCTTTCTTCTCATTGCTCTGTGGTGTGTTCCGGGCAAGTCCTTCAAGGAAAAACTGGCAACACTGAGTGTGTCAGGACCCGCTTTCAGCCGGGTGCACGCGTG